AGAAGCCGTCCCTTTAAGAAAAGCCAATGCTAAACAAATAGCAAAGAAGCTGTTCCTCCTTAGCAGCCAGGTGGGGATTCCAAAAAGTGTTGTGTGCTTTGTTGCAAGTGAAGCAGCTGAGGACCTCGGTGTACCATCCAGATGGGTTGGCAGAGAGATTCAACAAGACTCTCAAGGCCATCCTGAGGAAGGCCATTGAGCAAGGACGGACGTTTAATTGACTTCCTTCCCAAGTGTCCAAGGAATCCGCCCGGGATGCAGTGCAATATGGCCCAAAACTCTCTCCTCACCAACTGCAGCAAGCCAAGGAGCTGGTGGAAGGTAACCAAGATGTCTATTCATTCCTCCCTGGCTGCGCCCACCTGGTGGAACATGAGATCCGCACCTAGCCCGGCATAACGGTAAAACAAAAGCTGTATCGCATGCCGGAGGCCCGGAAAAGATGCTGGAGTTGAAGGTGATTGGACAATGCACGTTTCCTAACCTCCAAACCCCAGGAGGTAAAACTATGGCCATCCAGGACTGGCCGAAGCCATTAACAAAGAAGCAGGTGAGATTTTTTGGGGTCTTTTGCTATGGTAGCGGCCCCTCATAAAGCTGACATCAAAGAAACCCTCCCGTATGGTGACCTGCACCCCGGCTGCCGAAGACTCGTTTGGCAACTTCGAAGCGGGCCTTTTGTTCGAAACCAGTCCTTAATTCAATTCCTATAACAGAAATTATTCAAATAATTGCGAGTAGCAAGCCAGGCGCACGGCAGGACCACTGCAGAGACAACCACCATCAGATAGAACAAACATTCACAGAAGCCTGTGGGGAGGGAGAGCACAAATACTTTATGAAAGGGTAATGTTGGTTTATGTGGACAGTAATATGATTAATATTTAAAATAATAATAATGATGATGACGGCAGCAGCAGGTGTCAGCAGGGCCAGGGAAGGTGTGTCAGGACCAGGGTCCAGAAGGAACTACGATCTACAGAGACCTGCTAGGGGAGAAAGCACAAAAAAACTGCCGGAAAGAAGCTGAATTAGTGGTGCATTAATAAAACATGGATTATTGTAGAAAGAGAGAGTGAGAGAGGAGCTCGGTGTGTCCTCCGGCAGTCTAGGCCTATAGCAGCAACTAAGTGCTGGTCCGGGGCTAACCTGAGCCAGCCCCAACTATAAGCAATTGTGTATAGGTGTCAGGATGAGAGAGCCTGATGACTTACTGACTTCTGCCTGAGACAAACTGAGAAAATGTGAAATTAATTACACAGGCAGACCTGTGGCTTCTTCAGCGTCTTCTCAAGCAATGAAAATTTGTTGTGCTAACAGACATTTTAAACACATATTGCAGTAAACTGAATTAGCATACAAAATGAAGCTAACATTACATCCCAGCACATTACATAACAAATTGATTAATTTACTTACAAAGGAAAAGTATAATGTATAGGAGCCAGATAAAACGAGGAGGTTACACAGGGCTACAATCCTTCTAGCTAGCTCTCAACAGTTTGTGTTTCTTAACAACGTAACATTAGATACTAAACAAAACCAAGTAATCCCTAAAAATATTAGGTAGGTGAATCTTAGTTAGGACCCCGAGGTGAAACGACAGCGCTGCACTGCCACCTACTGGACATAGATAGCACCACACACAATGAGAAAAAATGTTCTTCAATCCAAATGAATCCAAATTAAACACAAATGTGACCATACATTTTATGTGCGTCACACCATGTCCAAGAGGAAAGTTTTAAGCTTTATCTTAAAAGAGCTGACCGAATCTTCCCCCCCGGACTGAAATTGGAGGCTGGTTCCACAAAAGAGGAGCTTGATGACTGAAGGCTCTGGCTCCCATCCTACTTTATAAAACCATAGGAACAACAAGTAATCCAGCATCTATGGAGCGCAGCTGCCTTGTAGGGCAACATGGCGTTACAAGCTCTTGAAGATAAGACGATGCCTCACCAGCAAGTGCCTTGTAGGTGAGGAGAAGTACCTTAAATTCTATTCTTACAGATTTAACAGGGTGCCAGAGCAGAGAAGTTAATACAGGAGTAATATTATCCCTTTTATAAGCTCTTGTTAAGACACATGCTGCAGCATTCTGAATCAACTGGAGAGGCTTAAGAGATTTACAAGAGCAGCCTGATAACAAATAATTACAGTAATCCAGTCTAGTATTTTTCTGCATCCCTTTGAGACCGGAAGTTCCTGATTTTCGATATTTTATATAGATGAAAAAAGTCGGTCCCAGAAGTCTTCTACATATGAGAGGTGAAGGACATATCCTGGTCGAAGAGAACTCCAAGATTCTTGATGGTGATGCTGGATACCAGATACATCAAGTGACAGCTGACTGCGAAGGAGCTCTGGGCCTATCAAGATAACTTTTTTGAGTTTAGCATCAGGAAGTTGACAGTCATCCAAGTTTGTCTCCAAGACATTTTTGAAGTCTAACAAGCTACAAGCAACAATATTTTTACTTTCGGCATTCCCCAGCTTGCTCTTTTGCCACAAGTAATTTCTATTTGACATTCCCATCTTGGTTTTTGTCCCTTGCCAACTTTGTTTTTTTGAAACCAGAAGTGACACAAAAGGGTGGAACCAATTCCGGTTGTGGTGGAGTTGGAACACAACCTTCCGGCTGGTTCCTCCCCAACAAAACACCCAATTAGTGGCATCACTTAAAAAGCACCTGCTGGCATCACCTCATTCCCTTTTGGTCCTGCCCTATAGAGAAATGTTGTATGTTTGCCTGTTGTGTTTAATTATATTTTGCATGTTAACACAAGCTCCCTTTTGGTCTTGTCCTGTAGAGAGAGAGGGGAAGAACCTGCCGCTGTTTTGCGTTTGTCTATTTTGTAATCTTGTGTTTTGTTTAGTTTACTTACTGCTGTTTTGTTTTCCTCAGTTGTAAACAGTGTTTTTTCAGTGACTTGTGATGACCTTGGTTTTATTGTGTTCTCTATTAAAACCTTTTAATTACAACAAACATGTTGCCTTATCCACAGTCCCTTGTTTGCATGCCTGGAGTACTTGAATCTTAAATCAGTATTTCTTGGGGTGTAATTCCCCTAGTGGCGTTGTTGGTGATCTTCCCCCAAAGCCCCTTCACAAAGGCAAACACTCAAATTGATGTTTTGGGGCAACCAAACGTAACTAATTAATTAAAAATGCACTGACGTTAAGTTGTATGACAAAACCATGGACCCTGACCAGACAACTCTGCGATAGTATAGTAAATCACAACATAGTTGCGCCCTAAAGCATACTCTGCTTGAGGATCTCTTGGACGATCATTTGCTAAATTTACAACATGCTGAAGAAGTCCTTAAACTAAGAGTTGAGACCACTAAGACTGAGACCATAAACTCATGGTCACGGTGATAACTGAGGTCATCAATCAAGTTAGAGGTTTTTGCAAGTTATTGCCTTGTTTTATAGACCGGGAGAATGCCGCCTGAGAAAAATCGACCTCCAAAAAGCAAACCTTTCTCCATCATGGATTTATTGTTTTGTAGAGTGTGTGTGTCAGTGCTTCATGACTCATCACATGCTGTTCACTGGGACCAACTTTGTGACACTGCTCTGTGTTCTACACATACACAAAGGTGTTTTATCTTGTCTCTCTGGACTTTTCTTCCAAGTTGACATTCTTGCTCTCCCTCTTTTCTTCCCTATAAAAAATAAAACTCAAGAAATCCCTCCATAATCTCCACTGATCCAGACTGAATCTGGTCTGTGCCAAGACTCCTTAGACGGGCCAAGTATTCTGCAACGGAATGCAGTCGCATTGTTGCCCTAAAAGACTTGGTCCTAGTACCATATTTCCTAATCAAATGAAGTTTGGATAAGCAGAATGCCTATAATGACTCTCCCGTCTTGTTAGATACTTTCCAGATGCAACAGCAGGATCAATGCCCGACGTGAGTTGATTAGAAGGAGTTTATTTCATGGCATGTAAAACTAGTGGGGGGAGCTAAACACTGTCTGTAGCTTGAGCTCATGTCTGAGACCTCGCTTGGAAGACATAAACATAGAGGAGTGGGGGGCAAAGGAAAAGGCGGGACTGAGGTCAACCTGAGCGGAGGGAGCGGGGCTTGGGAGAAACAGTACCGGGGCGGAGGGTGAGGGGGAGAAGGGGGGGAGGGTTGGATGGAAGGTTATACACACACAAGAACAGAAACATATAAGCATGTGAGTAAAATGCAGGACACCTGGAATGCCTGTCTGGGGCAAAGGGCCTATAACAACAAGAGCTTCTCATGGAGGAGAGGCAACGAGGGAGACGCAGAGGGAAAAGCAGGAGAAACACAAAGCGGGGGCCTTTGGAGCCAGATCAAGAATTTGCCTTTTAAGGGGTCACTCATCCAGGCCTTGTGAGCTCCGGTGGCGCGGCGGCCAAAAAACACTCTAGGGAAAAGAAATAAACAACAGCAAAGAGGCCGGCAGAGGAGAAGAAACTTGAGTGACTCTAATGTTTCTAACACCAAGCCAATATCAAACAAACACGAGGCCGCTCTGTGCTTGAAATCCCTCTCCGTTACCCGTGCAGAAATTATCAAAAACATCATCCAAAAGAGACAAGGATGCCTCTGATATTCCTTGGTACAAACTTCTGGGGTGACAGAGAGCTTGTGTCATCGTGCCCGCTGTATTGTAAACAATGGCGGAGCTCGGGCCAGCGAAGGACTCAGCTCGCTCTGAATCACTGGTCTCCCCAGCATCCCAACAGCTGCCCCCACTGTTTGGTTTGTCTCCATTTGTTTTTCTGGACAATACCAACAATGTGTTGGCCAAGCTATAAGGAGACGCTGCCTGGATCTGGTGGGGGGCGGGAACGGAGGGGACAGGAAACCGCTGAGGAGGAGAGGTGGGTGGGGGGTGAGAACAGAGAGGTAATTGTATATGTAAGAGTGAGGCAACCCCAGTGGAGAGGTAGGAGAGGGAGGAGAAGGAGAGAGAGAGAGAGGAGGAAAGGCGTGTTACCGGGATGGGAGGGCTGGGAGAGAGGCAGAGGAGCAACAGGAAAGGGAGAGAACAGGACAAAGTCGGAGAAGGGGAAGGAAAGCGACCCGGGATTCTCGAGGGTTGACATTGTCGAGTCAAGGGTCACGAGCCTCCGTCCAGGGGGGAGTTCTAAGTAGAGAGAGAGAAAGAGCAAAGTAGGGAAATGAAGTGTGTGTGAAACAAAGCAAGCGCCTGGAGAGAAGGAGGGGTGGATGGACCCAGAAAAAAGGACGAGTCCACATGTGACTGTAGCATGACGCAGTTGGAAAGTGTGTTTTTCAAAGTGTGTGTAGAAAAAGAGAAGGGGGTGGGTGACCGAGAGCGTGTGTCCGTCCCCGGGTCCCTGCAGCAGGGCTGAACACGAGCCAGGAAAAGGGGGACGGACCTTCTTCTCCTCCTCTCCAGCTGACAAAAACAGCTGCCGCGGAGCTGGAGCCAGCTTCGAAGACCGAGAGGAGGAGGAGAAAAAGAAAGGGTACGGAGTCCGGGACCCCCGACCATCCACATGGGCTGCGTCCTGAGTACGGACTGGTGCGGGGAGCACGAGGTGCGACCGGTGGCAGTGGTCAGAAGCTCGTCCCTGAAGAGAAGGAGTCTGGAGAGGAGCGAGAGTGGCAGGATGAGGCTGACGAAGGTCAGTGGGCACAGAGTGTTTGCGCGAGCGTGTGACGGCATTCTAGATTAACATGTTCACTATTAATGGAAGTACGTAGACAGCGCTGTTGGACATTGCATGTCACAAGGGGCCACTTGGATGTGTTTTCCAGGTTTTGGGGAGTACTGGTGCACTTGTTGCACGTGTTTGCATTCGGTCAGACCAAGTGACGCAGTATATTAAGCGACTGCGATGCAAAGTTATTTGTTGTAAACAAACACAGGACTTTGGAGGCCGCTGTTCGTGTCCTCTGTGAAACCAAAAGCAATTGTTATTTTACAACAAAACATGATCCATTTTTCTAGTAATCTTCATACAATCTTCCCAACATTAACCACGAGGCATTGTGCTAATTTGAAATTTGTTTTTTATATCAAATTTTCTTGGGGGTAACTTAAGTGTTTATGATAGAAATGTATAAGCATTATGCTTCTGCCTACACCTTTTCAGTCACAATGTATATTAGTTTGTAAATATGCTTTAAGCATTGTATTGTATGTAATGACTGAATAATCTACTACTGCTATTACATTTATGACATGCTGTTTTGGTTCAAATTCATGAGACCAAAGGCAATATTTTCCTTTGAGTTGTTGTAACTGAAAATATGGCGTTGGGGGACGTCACTTGATGCAGGTCTAGATGGCTCTAGAGGAGGAGGAGAAACACATGATCTCTCTGGCTCAAGTTCATCCATTTTCATTTTTTCCAATACAACTGCGTGTAAATAAAACTCGATGGAGATCTCTTTCGATACAATTTTTCAAGTTTGTGTATTGAAAGCAATCCAATAACCTTAAACCGTGTTTTCGTTATTTTGAAAAAAAACTTCTATACTATCTATACTTTCTTTTTATTTCATTCCCACAGAGGGTGAAGCGATGACGCTTCAGTAGCACCTCGCCTCGGACAATGCTCCCGTTGTTATCAGATGCGCAGGCACATTTGAGTATTTTGAATCGCATTAATTGATTTTAGAGTGAAACAAAATGCCTCACTGTCATTGGAAATAAAGTGTGAATCAGTGATGAAGCACTCGGAATGCCAAAGCTCAACATGTAACGATATTATTCACGTTGCATATTCCCCCCGAACGTGTGCGTGGCATCTGAAGCTAAAGAGGTGATTGTTCATCTCCTCACTAGGAGTGTGCGTCTGTGTGTTTTTGTTCAACCTCTCCATTCACAAGAGGACACAGATGATGACGGCTTCTCCAAGCTGAGCTCACATCTGTGCAGACACAATGGTGCGGTTATGGCGGCCTCGGGCCTCTGCTGGGGAATTATACGGCCGTGTAATAACAGGCATGCTAGTTGGCCGGAGTCATCGTTGAAATTGCTATTAGCCATCGAGAGGATACACACAGGCATTGCCTTTCGCATCCAGATGTGTGTATTATCGAAAAGTGTTTGTGTGTGTGTCTGTGCATGCGTCGCTTGCCCCGCACCACAGAGCAGCGTGGGAATGTGGAGCCCTCTGGACGACGTCATCCAGCAGTGACTGACCCCGCCACAGGGGTGTGGGAACCAGTCAGATCCCACAGATGGTCCAAGAGGAGGAGACGTCTTCTACTCTATTTATGCTCATTTGTTCTCATTCATCAGTTCTTTCCACCTTTTTTAAAATTATTCCTCGGTTGTTTTCCGTGGGGCTGCAGATAATCATAAGTGTCAGATCAGAATGTGAGATGGATTACATTTCTAATCTAATCTATATCTAAGTCCAATAACGACACATTACTCATGGAAATACAAAATAAATGATCCACGTGCTGCTGGATACATAATGTTTTAATCGGGAATACAGGAAAGGGAGTTATTCTTTTTATCAGACATTATTTTTTCTTATCGGTTATCACTGTTTATCTCAACTTCTTGTGGGGAAAAGTTGAATAGACTGTTGCAGCTTGCATGGTGGGGTAAAAACACCACAGCAGCATTAATTGTTTTTTTTCTGCACCATTTTTTATTTTATTCCTTTATTGCTTCTCCTATGTAGTGACTGGATCAATCTTTCTTTTAGAATTCTGGGGCTCTCATTCTCTGCTCTTAGATTAGACTTCACATGCTCTATGGACAGTTGTTGACGGGGAGAAGCTGAGCATCAATAAACAACCTTGTAAAAGTGGCTCCCTGAACAACTACTGGTGGAGGGACAAATCAAAGTAGGCAATCCTCTGACAGAAAAAATGAGACTGGCACCTTGAGGTTTGGTCTTTGTCATTAAATTACTTTTTTATTTTCTGTTATGACCACAAACTGACCAACTTGGTCTGAGAGTAACCAACAGAATCACTCGCCAGTTGAATTGTAATTTAAAACCAACTGGATAGCTATGAGATGTAGTAGATATGATCTAATAACCTTTCCTCTGGTCTAACCATGAGGTTGGCCTTTTGGGTTTTTGACTGGAATACATGCTGGATGGCTTTCCATGAGTCTTTCAACACACTGTTTGTACCACTGTGAATACGATTTTGCGATCCCTCTAGTTCTGTTTTCTTTTCGTCTTGTTGACTCTAGAAATACACAGAGGGCTGGCATTGGGACAGTGGCTTTTTTATTTGTATTTGTTCAGCTTCTCTGTAATTTGTCACGAGTTTAGATTGGCCATGACCATAACTGAGGCCTTGAGCCACAGGCATTTACGACAAACACACAGCCAACACAGGAAGGAGCACTGACCGGTTAGGATGACCCCCCCCCCCCCCCTAACCCTCCCCAAACAGTTAGGATAAGTATGAAATAGAACTAGAGGTAATTCTCACGCACAAAAAAATGCATTCCTTTGTAAACTCCAGACTCGGCGGGTGGCCGACTAGATTCCTGTGGCTTGAAAACAATGATCGGACCACAGTTTAAGCTGGATTTCTAAAGGAATGCCTGTTGTGTGTGTAGCGGGCGTGCGGGATGAAAGATGATCGAGGGGAAAGGAAAAAGACATAAACCATTTCCTGTGTGCGGAAAGTCCATCAAATCCCAGCAGCGCCCTTGAAAGCAACACCTCATAAGAAACTGTGCACAGGGTATCTTCTTCTCTTGCACTCAGTTTTGAGAAAGTTTCTGTTGACCTCAGCGCCACTAAACACTGTCGTCAGCGTCTCACCCACCTCTTTTCTCCGCTCTCTCCGTCCACAGCTGCACCTTATCAATGTTCGGCAGAGTGCAATCCAACGCGATCATTGGCCGAGCCATGTGCTTCCCCCACCTTTTCTTGCCTCCTCCCGCCCTCCTTTCCTCTCAACCCAGTCTCCCCCCTCCACCCACCTCTTCATCATTCACGTGTGCGCCAAGCCCTTCCAATTCCCAAATTGTCCGTCCTAATCATCTGGCACCCTTGGGATTACCCACATTGGGCGCTTTGCTTTGAGCCTTTGGCTCCAAGCGTAGAGGAAGCTTGATTCGGGATTTGCGTTCGGTATTTCTGCAAAACCGTTCCCCCCTCATTCCTCATCTCCATCGTTCTACAAAACGACCCTCCCCCAATCCACTCATTCCAATCCCAAATACCGGCTTCCTGTCTCTCATGGCCCATATGTCTGTTTTCACTCTTGCATGTGGCCTCCACGACCCTCCCAATTACCTTCTCCCACCTTTCTACTTTGCTTCTTAATCCCTTCCCCCCGCGTACCTCTTTATCCTCATCTCATCCTGCGACAATCCAAAAGAAAAAGGGAGCAAAAACATTGCATCAACAATTAAACTCCCCCCTCAATCAATCATTCCTCATTATTATTATTCTATCATGAGTAAGAAATCCCCTGGTTGTGAGCGAAAGGCATGGACTGTGTTACTGCACGTGTTGTTTGAGAGGGTGGGGGTCGCCGTGACTCATAGTCATGGTTCACATGTGCGGTACCTGCAAGTCGATCCAACACATGGTTCCACACATGGAAGTGACTAAGGGATCGAGGCAGGAGACAGAAGTAAGGCTCCTTGCATTAGTGAGTCTGAAGCTGTGAAAGATCACTGGGAAACAATTAAGGATGGGAATGAATATGCAACACACATGGGCATCCATGGCACGCAAACATAGCTGCATATTCAAGCTAATTCCATTTATCCCTGCAATAATGGCTGTTTGTTGGCGAGGAGAGGATTCTACCTGGTGCATTTCGGCTATTCCACCACATGGTGCTGCTGCTAGCATGCTAGTGCGTCACCCTGCAGGGTCCATGCAGATGTGGATCAGACACAGGGCCTACAAAAAGGAAGCAATCCAAATATAAAGTTGATTAGATCTTGATATAATGTGATAGTCATATCTATTTTTTATGTATTTAAAAGTAGGTTTAGCAATCTTTTTCAAAATCATTTGTGTTCAATTTGTTAAAAATCTCTTTACGTGCCAACAGCAATCAATTAGTTAAAAAGGGAAAATAAATCTAGTGTCTGTGGCCCTGTAGTAAGGCCGTTCATAGCCTGGTGTTATATTTTTATTTCATCCCCCAAAAATCATAAAAGTGGTACTCCATTTGTATCTTGCGGAACAAGATTCAAATGGAGTTTCTACATTTATCTTTTCCACAGAGCTTATCTTACAACGTAATCCAAAATCCACTGTGGCAATCCCATTGCCCATCCTCCCTGTTGGAGGAACCAGTGTGATGGTGACTTCAGTCGTGCGCCCATAAAACCACATCATCCCTACGGGACGCTGCGGCCATGTTGGTTGTTTACATTCGGTATGGTAATTTTGCTGCTACCTTCATTGGAAACACTGGGCTGGGTTTTACTCATCCACTGTGTTTAGGAAGAGGACGTAGTCATTGTGACCCATTGTTTTATGGACTGTCGGTTTGAAGCCTTGAGTTTGGAGATTTTCGCGTTGCCATCTTGGAATACGATTGTAAGAACGGCAGTGTTATTGGTTAAGAGGAGAAGGAGGCCTCGGAGCCACCTAAGGCCCGTAATTAAAAAATGCCTCAATATGTGTGTGCGTGAACTGGATACATGTTTCTTTACATACTAAAGTTTTTT